ATGCGTAGCCATAATAAATTATATTTTTTGACACACAAACCCACAGCGCACTGGTATGGGTGTGAGCGTACGTGTGGCAAACACCTAAATGTAGGCTATAAAATTTCTACAAAATAACCAAATGCATAAATATGTTTTAAGTGCTACATGAATAACGCCCAGAATTGCCTTAAATATGCCCATAATTTATGCAAAAAAACACACACATAAAAAAAATTGTGGGAAAAATGAATATTCAAACAGAAAGGGAATGTGGTATCACCTAACCACTCATCATGCCCTCATCCCTTCTGCGAAGGGCAACCATCAAATATTCAGCACAAACAATGGTTTTCGGTAAATATCCAGATCAAAATGCAACCAAAAATCGGTCTGCAAAAATCATAGCAAATATATATCATGCCAGCAATCAAATAGTGAATATGTAAATAAAAGTTGATACTTAAATTGCGTAGGATCAAAGGGTTTCATTACCATACAATATTCATAGATGTAAAAGCTTTAAATGCATGCAATATTTTTCGTGTAAATAATGTGTGAATTGTTGGGATTTGTTTGGAGAAACTCTTCGGAACTTTTTTCCGGGGCTTTTATTATTGTTTTGCAGGGGGAATATAGATTGTTTAGGACCATAACATACCTGATCGCTTTGTGCTGTTTCAGTCACAGAAACATCATTACCAGACATTTTATTGGATTTTAATTACTCAGCTTCCCGCGTCTAACTTTTCATCAAGCTCAACTTTGTAGCTGCATTAAAAAAGGAATAAAATCAGTTTTATTTATATACAAATATATTTGTTGGTATTTCATCCAGTTTCCAGTTCGGCAATTCTCGTTTTTGGCATTTTGCGTTTATTTCTTCGGCATTTCACGATTTTATTCTGACATTTTAGCAATGATTTATTACACATATTTTATTTGCACTTCACAGACTTTTCAATAATGTTCACATCTGTTTCAAAACGTTTTTATATCGTGAATGATTTTTCTGCGCATTCTAATTGATATCTAAATTTATTACATTTCATACATTTTCACTGGTTTTGGTTTTGGTTATTGGTTTAATTCTTTTAACAAGTTATTTTTAATCAAGTTTTAAGAATGGTATGTAATAACAGGAAGCTTCACTTTCTGAATATATTTAATATGTTTTTCATTCTTTTGATGCCACTCGCTCACCCAGGACCCAAGTAATTTATCCCAAGAAAATAACTGCTGCCTGTCACTTAATGCAAATTAAACAATTTAAATGAGCAAACAAACAAACCAAGAAAATCCGAATTGAGGAAGAAACGAAGACAGAGCAAGAAGTTTTTGTGGCAGCCACACAGGCACAGACAGCCAAACTGCGCATTGCACATAACTCGTAACTCATACGCCCCGTTGTACAATGAGAATGGCCGCGTTTATAAACGTTTGTTTGCATGCTTGTTTGTTTGTTGTCAGTTGGTTTGTTTGCCCGCCTGGCTGCGGTTTTTCAATTGTCAGTGGCAAAGCGAACGAAGCGAACCCAAGAGCCCAAAAAAAACGAGGAAAACGTTGGGAAAAATGTTGAAAAAAGTAAAATAAATAAGAAATACCAAATAAATTGAATTGCGTAGCCGACTATAAAGAGACAGCCAACGTAGGTGAGTGGAGCAAAGCCAACTGGAAGCGGAGATAAAAGCACAGCATCCCCAAGGGGGAATGGTAAAGAAAATGAAGAAAAAAATAAGTAAACAAAAACAGAGCGGGGACACACAGCCAAACAGCAAATGTGATAAATGTGCTGCGACCTTTGTGGTAATGTGCATAAAATATATTTCTAAATTTCTAAATTGTCAAATGGCAGATAGCGGCCAAGAAAAACTTTGAAGTTGTCGAAAGAGGTCAGAATACAAGATGTGATTGTATTTCGATTATCTGGATTTTCCTTTTGAAGCAGATGCTAAAAGCTTGTGTCTGAATCTGTCTGCAATTGCTTGAAATTCTTAAAATTCAACTGCAGATATAACAATCTAGTTCAAAAAGATATTAACTGTTGTACTTTAAGTAGCATTTATGGAATTTTCTCAATATTTGTAACAAGTGGTCTTTGCTTTAACATTTTAAAGTGATGATCAATAAGTTTGTAAAATGTGTACATAATTCATAAAATGCCACTTATAATGCATGCAAAAAACCTCTCTTGCTAGCTTTAGGAACTTTTTTGACAATCATTTCTCTAAGGGTTCTAGTATTCTGACTTGACAACTTTTCTTTGTTTAAATGATATAAATACGCCACTTTAATTCCTAACGACTTCCCATCCATTAAGTAAACTCACAACTGACCAAGGCAAACAAATGTGTTCTCTAAGTTCCTTAACTTGCGGTTGAGCCGGAATTTGATGTCCTTTAGTGGCGGTCACATCTGTTGGGCTGCCTAAATGCATTAAATATTAATGAGTTTAAAAGCGGCAAGTAATTCGTTGTACCCTGAATGAGGAATGAGCCATGCTCAACCGACAAATCGCCGGGTTATTGATATAGGAGCCCCGATTACTCCGCCCCTACTCGAATTCTCTTCTGTGGAACTTGTCTGCTAATCCAAGAGATGCAATGTGCTCGACGGACTATTTGATTTTTCATTTGTGCATTTGTCAAGTGCGAGAACAAGAAATGGCAAGTGGCAACCGACAGTCAGCGGATGGCCAAACAAACAGACGTAGGGGAAAATGGGATGGGGAATAGGGGAGAAGCCAACAGAAGTTTCATCAATTTTACACAATCCACTTAACTTGAAAAGCCAGAGGGCAGTCAGTCACAGAGACCGAGAAAGATAGAGATCCGTTGCAGAGAATGCTCTATGTTTTTCAATTCATTTGAATTTCTCGTTTGGAGCAAGGGGACTGAAAGCACTGGTAGCTAATTACTGGCGGTTAGATATTTTATTAAAATCACAAAACTTTTTAAATTTGGAAAACAATAAAATCTACATTTAGATAATACATAAATTTATAATTGAAAATTTATTATAATTGATATATTCATTTCCCTTCTTAAGGAAATATTTTTGGGATCCATCAATTAAGATATCCGAATGCGATTCTTAAGCATTATAAAAACCACTCCGGCGGTTATTAACATATATACAGATAATATGAAAACACATTCGAAATGATTTCGTTTGGCGGGGCTCAGGAACATTTTTACCAATCCAGTTAGTAAGTTGGAGACCATAAAGTGGCTCAGACCATTCATATTCAGGCTCTTAACGTAGGTGGGCAGGGATTCAAATTGCTCATATCCGGCACTTCCTAGCTCCAAAAATAGATAGCGTGTTTCCGCAGATGATTTTGAAAAAACCAACTCAAAGACGAAAGCGTAAATAAGAATAAGACTCAGGATAACAGCGAAAATCCAGATAACATAGCCAGTGTTGAAGGTTACTCGACACAGGTCACAAAATGGGATAACTAGGAAAACTAGTAGCCAGCTAATAACGGACATTCCTAAGAGCTTTTTCAGCTTCCTGCATAGTTGCTGATAACTCAAATGATCACTGGCAATATACCACTTGGCGAAGCACATACTCATCATATAGAGTGCTGCACACCCGTTAAGGGAACTCAAACCTTCACGATTGCCACTGAGAAATCCCACTCTTGATTGTTCATATTCCATTACGTAATCGGAAATACCCAACTGGAGCATTAGTTCATGTAGGGAAAGCAATCCTATAGATACAACCAGAAGTTGTTTATCGGACTTAGCTAGTAAGCTATACAAACTGCCCAGCAATTTGGTGAACCCCAAAATAAAGAAAGCATTTAGATCACGGCCATAGTCAAATACATCCTGTGGGTATCCAGTGAGATAAAAAAACATGTTGCGGAGGAGGCCCAGGATCATCAATGGAACCACTGATCGCGGCAACCTCCTTAGATCGGAAAAATTCCTGGCACGACGAGATACCAAGCCCATGGTCACCACAAACAAGCCAATGCCCATGTCCATAGCAGAAGCTCCGAAAAATACACTCTTCGTAAATTCATAAGGAAAACTTCTAAAGTCAACGGCCAGGATAGCAACACAGGTTCCATTGTAGGCAGTGGCTCTGATTAGAGAAAATACTATAGGACGCTTCCCGAGCTCAAATATATGATTCTTTGGAGGACTTCTAGTCCTATAAAGATGACACAGAATTGCTATAGTTATTATAGCACAATATATATAAGTATAATCACTGCCGACGGTGGCAAAAATCACAGTTGGCAACGCAATGACCATGAACTCTGCTAGAAATCGCCAGATGGATACGGATGGCATGTTTTTAAAAAGCACCCAAGATGAGATAAAACCCAAGGTGGTCGGCATTATAGTTAGAAAGCTCTCCACGCATTCTAAAAAGATAAAAGTATCCACTTCCGGCAAGTCAAGCTCCGAGCTCCCATCCTTATCGTAGGTTGAATGATGTAATTCGGGTCTGATATGCATAGTGTACTAAATGTTTAAAACTTTAAAACAACTGGCTAGTCAAAAAATAAGAAACTCATTGACACATTTCAAAAGCGATATCTATAAATGGTTCATTGAATGGTAAAACCGCCATTGAAGGGGTATAATTTTGCACCTTTGCTTTCGCCTTTGTTTTATTTTATAAGAGATTTTGAAATATTTTTTGAAATAAAATCCCAGACGGGAAAACCAAAAACTACTCCAAAAAGAAAATGTTTTTCGTTTTGAGAAGAGACTACAACTTATTAAAATTCAATTTAATATAGGAATTCTTGAAAATACTTAACTTTCAATCTTGAAAGATTTTTATTTAGATGGTTTTTATTATGTCAAAGTCTTCAAAATTGCAATAAAATAAATTATTAATTTATCAAAATTGCAATACAAAAATGTGGTAATTGAACTTCATATTAAAATAAACTTAAAGATAATACGGAATACAAATTTTTGGTTAACTAGGTTCTTTGAAAAACAAGTCATTATATGCTGTCAAATAGAATTACAAAAATCTGATTACAACCCTTTCGATTTACTTGGGATAACTCGGCTCGTCACTTTTAACTCAACTTCAAAATGTCTTCTTCCGAAACGGATATATATGTGGAAGAGGAGGACGAACCGCCACAATCTTCTGTTCCGGTGCCAGTGAGTCCCAATCCAAATCTTCAGGACACTTTCGTTTCTCCCTCGGTGTCGATCGTCTCGATGGATGGCAGCCAGGCATCAGAATCCGCAGATTCATTCCTTGACTCGCTGCCGGACTGGATCTATGGCCTGCGATCGGTCAGAGCTTCAACCAATTTAAGACCCCCTCCTTTAATACCGTCAACACCATCAACACCGCCTACACCATTAACACCTTCAACACCATCACAACCATCTTCTTCATCAACGGCCTCACAAGAATTGCAAACTCCGGAGGATTCCAGCATGAACCGTCCTTCTGTGCTGGGTGAGGACAACCCCAGTATTGACGAGTCCCTAGATGACACCGTGGTTATACCTCGCCGGATCTCCGAACTTATGCTGAATCTGCAGAGGACTCAGACATTGGCCGAGTCCGATCGGCAACGCTATCGCCATCGTCGCCTTCAGGCTCGTGCTATTGCCCAAGTTCGGGCTGCCCATCAGGCTCGAAGGATGCTAGCTGGATCCTTCACCGAAGCAGATTTTAGGTCTGCCGAGAGAATGCCCCCGACTTCTTTTGCGCAAGTTATGCGGCGTGGGAACAGCATGAGCGATTGCAGCCAGTGCAGCAGCGATGAGGAACAAGGCAAGGTCAAGGGCAAGAAAAGGAAGCCAACGGTTCCACGACATCTGGCCGAATGGCTGTATCCGATTTAAGTTTTTGTGCTTTCAACGTTGTCGAATCTTCAGCTAGATTTCAAAAATACAAGTGGCTTCCTCCAACCGAATCTACATAGAAATTTGCTAGGCAGTTTTAATGTTAGCTAATTTACTTTGGAAATATAAAAATATTTTCATATTGTTTCCATAATATATTTTGGTAAAGAAAAACATTCAAATCTAATTATATTAGAAAATACCAAATTTATTATAATGAATAAATTGACCTCTACTTGACTTCTTTCCCTCAACTGCTGCTAAGTTCAGCTAGCAAACTGTATAAGATCTTAAGTCTCCTGAAACAGATAGGAGCTCGAAGCAACTTGCTTTCAAGCTGCCGCCACGGGTCCTGCTACTTGTTGAAAGTCTTTAAGGTCTTTTCATCCAGCGGCAAGCTTTTTCTCCATTGTTTTCCCTAGTTTTCTCAGCAGCCGCTGCCACTTCATACGGGAAAGTGTTTATATGCAACTGGGGTGGGAGGGAAGTTGGAAATAATAATGAATTTGCGGCATGCCACACAAACACTTGCTGCGGCCGCAACATGCGCCAGATTTTAGCTCCGGATATCAGCAGTAGCTGCACATGCATCAGCTCCGGCCGGAGTCCAATCCCACACTGAGAAAGAAGTTTTTTTAAGTGATATAACAAAAAATACTTCTAATAAAAAAGTTTAAAGGTTTTCCTAGGGTATTTCTAAAATATATATCTTTGGAACATATAGTTAAAAAAAAGCTGTAAATTGTGTAAAGAAAACAAAAAATTGTGATATTTTCTTACATCTTTTAAAAATTTAAAGGAAATTGGTTATAATTTTTGTTGGAAAATATTGAGTTTCTTAAGGTAGGGGATTATTTCCCAGTGCTTACTCAATGGCACCACCACCATCCTGCCTCCCCCTACTCGGTCTTTCCTTAACCCACTGTGCGGCATGTGTGGCAGCTAATATGTTGGCTTGGCAGTGTCGCCTCTTGGAGCCGTTGAAAAATGCACTGACATGTGCCACAGCTGCTGCTAACCCTCCAGACCATTCTCCGATTTTCCCATTTTCACCAACCCCACCACCACCTGCACCACCCCCCATTGAAACAAATGCACAGGGCGTGGGCGGTTGCGTGTGCTCTTCAACGGGGGGCGTGTTGATGCGCTGAACAATAGCTATAAAAAGGATTAACTTGCATAACAAAAGAGATGCCAAGGGGAGGGGCGTTCGGACCAGGCAGGGCTTGGCATATAAATTTCAACAACGCAGCAAGCCGAAGACTCGGCATTGGTCGAGTTCCAAATTTATAGCCCACACTCCGCTCTCCCCATTTAGAATTTCACCCGTGAGCATATGGTTTTGGATTTGCTTCCATTGTTTAACTGCAGCTTGCCTCAAAGTTTTACTATTTACGTTGTGGTTATAATTACATATCAGTTAGCGTTTTTATTGTTTATGGACGGTGGTTTGTAAAGCTTCTTGGTTGGTACTTTCTGCAGTTAAACAGCAGGGGAAACAAGTTCACCGCGATTTATAATGAGTTTTTAATTTCTATACATTTATTGATTGTTAAACAATTACAACTGACTTTTAACTTAAAAAAAAAGAAAATTTGAGTTAAATTTCAAAAGGTTAAACAGCTGAATAAATAGTGTATTTTGTTCTAAGATTTATTTATTTTATATTGTTTATTTTATTGCAATCTGACCTTAAAAATGCATTAAGATAGTTTACTTTCATTGTAAAGCAAAACATGTATTTGGTGGTCAATAAAAAGGAAGGATGCAACCTTATTGCTTTTTACTTGTTAAACTACCAAATAAAATATTATATGGTCTGTTTTTTAGCAATTTGTTACCCACCTTAAAGCGCAACCCCTTAGCTAACCCCGCTTTAACCCCATTGAACCCCTTAACCCCTACCCGGGGCACGGACCTTTGTCCATCCTTGTGGCGCCTGGAAGAGGAAGACAGCCTTTCAGTCAACTGCAACTGCTGCAATTTCTCATTTTAATAAAAATGCAAATGTCTCCGGCTGAAGAAAGTCAAGCTAGCGTCATGTTGTCTCTTTCTATTATCGCTATACCCTGCTCCCTCGCTCCCACGATTTTCTCTCTCTCTTTCTCTAGCATCCTTTGCTCATATTAAACGCCAGTAAACTTTTCGATTTTACGGTATAGCGAAAACAAAAGAAAAGCTCACAAAAAATAAACAGCGAGGAGGAAAAAAAGTAAGGCAAGACAAATAAGTTTTCAATAAGGTCCTTAAGAATGTTAAAAGGAATGAAAATAGAGGATTGCACTCAGCTGAAGGTTGAGTAAAACAAAGTGTCAGTTTACAGCTGTCAGGCCCCGAGGGACATATAAGCCGTTTCCCTCGCTCCCATTCTCTGTCTCTTTCTCTCTCTCTCTATGTCCAACTCTTTCCGGTCCTGTTGCTGATTCGCATTTAAAGTTGAGGCCGCCAGATGGGACTGCACCATGCAAATTGTAGTGGTGACAATTGGGAAATGTTCCTCAATAAAAATATTTCCATATCGAAAATACAGCGATTCATAAGCATTAAAATGCCACACGCAGTCTCTTATTGAAAACAAACAATTAAATAGCTTTTTAATCTCGGTAAACTTTAGATTTTAGTGTTAAATAAGGCTGAGTTGAAATCAGAAGAAATTTACAATAAAACGTAAAGCCTGTTATTAAAATCCGATTTTGATAATATGATTTAGAATGATTTATTAATTTCTCTGTTTTTCAAGTGATTTTTATTCGCTTTGAAGTACTCTTCCAGCATCACTGGTGAAATATAGTTCACTTTGTCCACACACACTTCAGGCATCGAGAAGTGCGGGCCGGGCTTAATTAATCTAATTGAAATAATGCCAGCGACAGGCGAGAGTCGCACATATGGCCAGCTTACGGGCACTAACAATGGCTTAGGACAATGCCGCCTCCCTATAAAGTAGATCCCCGATTGCATCTGGATGGGGACTCTGAGCAACAAAAGGTTCTTTGTTTGCAGCGAGGTGGGTGCGGGACTTGAAGTGTACACTGCTTTAGATAGCCAAGCTGGGATCTACTTAATTGGGAATCTCGTTAACGGCGCCACTTAAAGTGGCAGAGGTTAAGGTTAATACCACTCATTCGACTCTGGTATTTAATAAAAAAATATTTTAATGAAAATTTAATTAGCTAAGTACATAAATACCATGATTTCACTGGCACATGTAAGTTTCCATTTGCTTTCATCGCTCTTACATCAAAAATAAAGAGGTTTCTTTACAAATTTTTAAACAAAACATTATTTTGGGGATTATGTTTCGGGATGTAGTAGGAGTAGAATGAAATTGGTTTTTGTAGAGGAATTCAAAGGAAACTTCATGTACCTATTTATAATGAAAGCGAATAAAAGAAAATCCTAACAAATAATGGTTATATTTAAGGAAGTTTTACTGCAATACCTTTTATCATTTTATCTTAATAAGGTTCACAACACGTACTAACAATTTTTTACACACTATAATTTCGATGATTCACTGCCTTAAAACGATATCATTATAGTTTCGATACCGGAGGTGCAGTTGTGGTTCCGCGGTGTTGATTTTTTTCCTTCGATTCGTCAATTTTACCCACAAATTTCTCCACCGTGGTGACGACCCTATCGATGTTGCTGCCCACGAACTGGATGAGTGTCACCCGGTTCTTAATGATCAGGAACGTGGGCATGCTGCTAACCTCGTACTGGACGGCTAGATCTTCGTTAAGATCTACGTCAATCTTGAGTATCAACATGCGTCCGGAGTATTCCGTTGCCAGTTGCTCTAAACGAGGCCCAATCATCGCACAAGGACCACACCAGGTGGCGTAGAATTCGACTAGAACATATTTGTTGGCCCCCGCATCATCGATGAGCTTATCGTAGTTGGTCTTTGACTCTACGACGATCACCTTCCTGTGAGCAGGATCCATCGGTAACGTCCGAGATAGCCACTACAAATTTTATTTAAAAATTGTTCAGGCAAAAATTTTTGTTTTTTTTTACTTTAGAAGGCTTTGAAGAGCAAATGACAATAGGTTCTTAGCTAGTTGCGAGTCCTAGAATATGCCCTTTATATTTTGCTAATGGATGTGTCTTTGTTTTAAACGGTGGGCGTTTTTTTTATTTCGTAGCCTTTTTTGTTAGCCTTTTCCTGCTTGGGGCAAGCATATTGCTATATAGGTTGCACTTTTAGTTGAACCGAAAGTTTTATAACTTTGCAATTTATTTTGCTACAACAACAATCATAATATTGTACCATATAAATATCGAAGATTTCTTTCCAATAGAAATAAATATTTTGTATATTGCTTTACGTTCTAAAATGCGTTTCCCAAGAAAGTTATATATATTTTCATATTAATTTAGATTTCTAAATATTTAAAAAACAGGAAATTTGGGTTTATCATTAACGTTTTAAGCAATAAGTATTAGCAAGACAATGAACTGAGATGCGATACTCTTTTTTATACGCCGAAAGCGTTGAAAGTGGCTTCAAAAGGATATCTTTGTTTTGTTTTTCCATTTTCAAGGCATTTTTCATAGTGCTGGCAGCTTGTTTGTCTTGCCTTGCATTTGTCACAAATTAAGACAAATGCACACCAGTATCTTGAGTGTGTTTAAGTCGCCCCCGCCCTGTGCAACTTTGGTTGCTATATGTTTGCTCGCCACAATGGGGGCGTTATCTCCTGAGTGTGTTTACCTAAGCCTTTCTCTTACTGTCTGTTTTGCTTTCTTTTCTCGCTGTCCTTTTCCTGGCACTTTTTGCACTGTGTGGGATTTTGTTCACGTGGCTGTTTGCGGTCTAAGCCCGCTTCAAGTGTATCTTTCAGTTGATTCTAAAATTCTGTTGGCTGGGCTCTTTAAGCTCTTGGCACTTGACATTGAGATAGTCGTTGATAATCCGGTGGCTGTACTTGCTTTCACTGAGCGAAAAAACCGTATTCCATTATATATATTGCCTTTAATTTAAAGTCATTATTGCGATTTATTATTTTTATTGAAAGTTAAAAATAGACAATATTTATTAAAACTAAAGAGTTTTAAAAATAATTTTTTTTTGATTTTGTCTTTGGATTTTTAATGACAGAAAGGTTCAAAAAGAGTGTTCTTTACCAAATAAAGTATTTTTTTAACACCTAAAATAATGTATGAAATTCCTCAAAATGTTGTATGCTATTGTATATTTTAATTTATATTTTTGAAGGCAACTTTAGGATTTTAAATAAATGTTTTTCTCAGTGTTCTTGTTTTTCGCAGTCACTTCTGCGACTTGCATAACCTAATGAGCGGCGCTTAGCGACGATACGAAATGGAATGGAACGGAAATGGGTGCCGCGTGTGCAGCACTGGTGCAACATGTTGTGCAATCAGTTCAACTTCCGGTGTTAGTAGTGGCAAGGATTTTCGGTCCTGCCAGCGAAAGTGCTGACCTCGCACCGTCGCGAATGGGAAAGGTAATAAAAATAACGGCATGGGAATAACATAAGCATTCAGCGAACATATTTCGACGCTACATATTCGTGCTTTTGATGGAGCGCTAGGCGAGTGGAATAAGTCACGTAGCTGGCAAGACAAATTGCTTCAAGTGCACGAAGGACTTTCAGTTTCCTCGGGCTAGTCGGTTATGCGGTTAGACAGTTATTTTTATTGCGCATACGCTATGTGGCTGGCATGCGGAATAAATACATACATGTTTGTACGCGTTTTGCGGTCAACTAGAATATGGGGTCAAAATGGGGTCAGGATTATTGTCACTCTTGTCACAAATCAAATTTTCGTGTCTCCGAATCAGAAGATCTGGAATCCGTGATGGATTTTCTTTGGTTTTAGCGCGAACAATTTTCCATTGATGGTTATAGTTGGCCTATACAGACATCCATCTCAGGGCCGTAAAAGCGCCTGGAAATCTGAGAAATTTGTCCGTCATAGTGTGAAGTTTTGAGATAAAGCCAGGAATTTTAGCCATTTCCCCCCCTAAGTATGCTTTATTCAGGCTTTCTGAAGTTCGGCTTTCTAGCTCTCTGGCTTTTTGCTGTTGCTGGCCTGCCGGTCAGCAGTTGGCTGTGTGCGTTCCGGGCCACATAATTGGCTTTTGTTTTTCGAAACAACAACTGAATTGGTGCTACGAAGCACGTTTAAGCATGTCAATGTCAGATGCCGGCTGGCAAAATGATGAACAATCCGTAAACAAAACACAGAAACCAGAAGACATGCCCAAATACCAAATACCAACACCGACACCAAAACGGCAATTTCAGTTAACAAGTTTATGAGCTCCGCCGGGCGACAATGAAAGACTCGTGCATTTGGATTTTTGAGTGCGTCGTAGGCTGGGCCAAAGGCCCCCACTTCCTGCCACTCGTATTTCCGTTTCCTGTTTTGCAGCACTGAGGGAAAACCCTTAACTCCCATTAGGGACTCAACTTCCGGGGGAGCACTAAGAAAGTTCTCATATATATATTTTATATTCTTCTTAATGGTTTTTTTTAAATATAATAATGTTTTACTTTACCAAAACATAAAAATACTAATAACCGTAATTCTTAAGTAAACCTTAAGCAAGAGTTTTCTTTCTGTGCAGCATTGCACATTCATTTGCCTGCCAGGACGAACACAATATGCTTCCATTCGTCCCTGCCACGAACGCCTTTTGTCAACGAAAATCTCTTGAAACACAAGCAAATTTTATTTGCTGCCAAAAATTTTGATGCTAGAACCGAAGCTGGAGATTTTCCCCATTTCCCAGGCGCCCGTTGTTTCTGTTGTTCTGGGACCGGGATCCTGGGACTCCTGAGTTCGGGCTCACCCTTAACCACATGACAGTTGGCATTTGGCGGTGCTGAGCCTTGTAATGAGCTTGGGCGGAGAGTGGAGGGGGGCGTTTTTAGGGGCTTTTCGGGGCGAAGGATAAACAGGAGTAACAGGAGGCGTTGGCGCATAAACAGGACTACAAGCACGCCCCTCTGCTCAGAGCATTCACAGTTTTTACAAGCTGCTAATGTGGGCCCGACTTTTGTTGGTTTTCGCTTCGGCGCTGCCGTGTGAATGGGATTTGCATTCGCCTGCTGAATTTGGCAGGCAGAAGTCCTTTTATGTTCGGGCTTTGGCGAGAATCCGCAAATTGGATGGCTGCAACTCATTGGAATTGCTTCATTCAGGCGCAGACTTGGGTACTTATCGACCTTATGGAAATGGGGCTGACTGTACTTAGCGGCGTGACAGTAGGCCTACTTTATTCTTTTCCCAACTTAGCCGCAGGATTTTCTGCAAGCTCTCTCTTAGCTTAATGGACTTGAAGTTCTGAAGCCTTTTGGCAAATATAATAATTATTTTGATGAGACTTGAAGATATTTAGGACTTAAATTAATATTATTTTTTTTTAAATATGAATTCACCAAGTTCTTAATTATTTAAAAAAAATAACCAAAAAATTACAAATTCCACATAAAAAAAGAAAGGAAGCTAGCTTCGGCCAGCCGAAGCTTATATACCCTTGCAGATCATTCCTATTAATTAACAAATCGCAAAAATGTTCAATTTTCTAATATTTCTCATTAATTTTCCGATCGTTCCTATGGCAGCTATATGATATAGTCGTCCGATTTTGATCAAATTAAAATTGAAATTCGAAAATATTTAAAAAGAGTCATATCGTAGAGTAGAAGATAATACAATAAAAACCAAAGAAGCTAGAATTTATTTCCTATTACTTTTCCATTAATTTTCCGATCGTTCCTATGGCAGCTATATGATATAGTAGTCCGATTTTTTAAAAAATTAATTCGAAATTCAGATATATTTAAAAAATAACATCCCCAAAAGTAGAAGGTAATATTTCAAAAAACACCGAAGCTAGAATTTTTATACCCTTGCAGAGGGTATTATGATTTCAGTCAGAAGTTTGCAACGCAGTGAAGGAGACGTTTCCGACCCCATAAAGTATATATATTCTTGATCAGCATCACAAGACGAGTCGATCTAGCCATGTCCGTCTGTCCGTCTGTCCGTCTGTCCGTCCGTCTGTCCGTCTGTCCGTCTGTCCGTCTGTCTGTTTCTACGCAAACTAGTCTCCCGGTTTTTGAGCTATCGGGACGAAACTTTCGCAAAAGTCTTCTTTCTATTGCAGGTAGTATATATGTCGGAGCCGACCGGATCGGACAACTATATCTTATAGCTCCCATAGGAAGGATCGGAAAAAAAAAACTTTAAAAAATTCTAGCTTCGGTGTTTTTTGAAATATTACCTTCTACTTTTGGGGATGTTATTTTTTAAATATTTCTGAATTTCGAATTAATTATTTAAAAAATCGGACTACTATATCATATAGCTGCCATAGGAACGATCGGAAAATTAATGGAAAAGTAATAGGAAATAAATTCAAGCTTCTTTGGTTTTTATTGTATTATCTTCTACTCTAGGATATGACTCTTTTTAAATATTTCCGAATTTTAATTTTAATTTGATCAAAATCGGACGACTATATCATATAGCTGCCATAGGAACGATCGGAAAATTAATGAGAAATATTAGAAAATTGAACATTTTTGCGATTTGATAATTAATAGGAATGATCTGCAAGGGTATATAAGCTACGGCTGGCCGAAGCTAGCTTCCTTTCTTGTTTAAAGTTTTTTTTTCCGATTGTTCCTATGGGAGCTATAAGATATAGTTGTCCGATCCGGTCGGCTCCGACATATATACTACCTGCAATAGAAAGAAGACTTTTGGGAAAGTTTCATCCCGATAGCTCAAAAACTGAGAGACTAGTTTGCGTAGAAACAGACAGACGGACAGACGGACAGACGGACGGACAGACGGACAGACGGACAGACGGACAGACGGACATGGCTAGATCGACTCGTCTTGTGATGCTGATCAAGAATATATATACTTTATGGGGTCGGAAACGTCTCCTTCACTGCGTTGCAAACTTCTGACTGAAATCATAATACCCTCTGCAAGGGTATAAAGATAAAAGGTTTTCTTTGTATAAGAATTTGATATTTACTTTTCCATTTTCAAATACCACGGAATAATCAATTGACTTTCAATTGTTAGCCCCCGCCATTGGCAATCGACTTCTGACGTGACTGTACTTGACGCAGATCGTTCGCCATCTTGGCAAGAGTTG